GATGGGATGGGGGGGGACTGGGGGGGACTGGGGGGCGAACTGGGAGGGACTGGGAAGGGATTTGGAATGGACTGGGATGGACTGGCATGGATTGGAGAGCACTGGGAGGGACTGGTATGGACTGGGATGGACTGGGATGAATTGGGATGGACTGGGATGAACTGGGAGCACTGGGATGGACTGGGGAGCACTGGGGGGGGGCTCGGGACCCCAGCCCAGCCCATCCCCCGCTCAGTCTGAGGGGGAGGTGCCGGGCGAGGCCATGAGCGAGGAGGAGGAGGAGGAGGAGGAGGAAGAAGAGGAGGAAGAAGAGGACGAGGAGGAAGAGGAGGAGGAAGAGGAGGAGGAGGAGGAAGAGGATGAAGAGTCTGGGAACGCCTCGGATCGGGTGAGGGGGGCCTGGGGAGGGGATCTGGGGGGGATTTTGGGGAGAAATTGGGGGGTTTTGGGGCAGATTTGGAGGGAATTTGAGGCAGATTTGGGGGGTTTGGGGCAGATTTGGGGGGTTTGGGGGGCATTTGGGCAGTTTTGGGTGTCCTGGGTGATTCCAGTTGCATTTTGGGGCAGTTTCAGAGATTTTGGGGGTCCCTGACCCCTTGGGGTCCCCCAGAGCGCGTCCAGCGCCCGGCGGTGCTTGAAGGAGTGATCCTGGCTGGGTTTTGGGGTGATTTTGGGGGTTTTGGGGCAGTTCCAGGATTCCTGGGTGGTTCTAGGTTTGTTTTGGGTATATTTTGGGGTGGTTTTGGGGTTTTTTGGGGGTCCCTAACCCCCCTTTGGGCCCCCGCAGAGCGCATTGAGCGCGCGGCGGCGCGTGCGGCGGCGCTGGAAGGAGAGCCCCTGGCTGGGTTTTGGGGCAGTTTTGGGGGTTTTTGGGGCAGTTCTGAGGTTTTTTGGGGCAGTTTCAGGATTCCTGGGTGTTTCCATGTGGGTTTTGGGTGTATTTTGGGGGTTTTTGGGGGTCCCTAACCCCCCTTTGGGCCCCCCCAGAGCGCGTCGAGCGCGCGGCGGCGCGTGCGGCGGCGCTGGAAGGAGAGCCCCTGGCTGGGTTTTGGGGCAGTTTTGGGGGTTTTTGGGGCAGTTTCAGAATTCCTGGGTAGTTCCAGGTTTATTTTGGGTTTGTTTTGGGGTGTTTTGGGGGTTTTTGGGGGTCTCTGACCCTTTGGGCCCCCCCAGAGCGCGTCGAGCGCGCGGCGGCGCGTGCGGCGGCGCTGGAAGGAGAGCCCCTGGCTGAAACCCTCCCGCAAGAGGAAGAGGAAGGACCCCCGGGGGGGCAAGGACAGAGGTGGGACCCCCGAATTGGGGAAGGGGACCCCGAACTGGGGAGGGGGATCTGAATTGGGGCGGGGTTGGGAAAAGGGGGGCTGGGAATGGGGGGATGTGGGGAGGGCCCAACACACCCAACACAGCTGGACATGCCCTGGCCCCGCCCTGACCCCACCCTGCCCTGACCCTTAGCCACGCCCCTGCCCCTTGGCCACGCCCTGAACACACCCTGGCCTTGCCCTGCCCCGCCCTCCCCCTTGGCCACACCCAGGCCACGCCCTGACCACACCCTGGCCCTGCCCTGCCCACGCCCTGCCCCGGCCCCGCCCCGGCCCCGCCCTGACCCCGCGGTGCCCCGCCCAGGCCCGGCGGAGGCGGAGCGCTTCGAGGAGCTGCCGCTGTGCTCGTGCCGCATGGAGGCGCCCAAGGTGGAGCGGGGCGGGGACCGCGGGCTCTGCATGGCCACCGAGAGCGTGGACGGGCAGGTGAGCACACCTGGGCACACCTGGGGACACCTGGGGACATGGGGATACACCTGGGGACACGGGGACCGCGGGCTGTGCATGGCCACCGAGAGCGTGGACGGGCAGGTGAGCACACCTGGGCACACCTGAGACACACCTGGGGACATGGGGATACACCTGTGGGACATGGGACACACCTGGGGGACATGGGGACACACCTGGGGACACGGGGACCACGGGCTGTGCATGGCCACCGAGAGCGTGGACGGGCAGGTGAGCACACCTGGGCACACCTGGGGACACCTAGGGACACCTAGGGACCTGGGACACACCTGGGACACACCTGGGGACAGCTGGGACACACCTGGGGACACACCTGGGACACACCTGGGGACAGCTGGGCACATGGGTAACACAAAAAACCCCGGGGTAAACTCAGGAATTTTTGGGTGCCTGCAGCAACCGGGGGCTCCCAGGTGCGGGGTCCCCCTGGGACAACCCCAAAAAGCCCCAAAATGTCCTAAAAATGTCCCAAAAATTGTCCCCACCCGCCCCCAGCTGAGCGGGTGTGGCAGCAGCATCCTGAAGCGCGAGACCATGCGCCCCTCGAGCCGCGTGCCCCTGATGGTGCTGTGCGAGAGCCACCGCGCCAGGATGGTGAAGCACCAGTGCTGCCCGGGCTGCGGGCACTTCTGCACGGCCGTGAGTGGGGATTGGGGGGAAAAGCCCTGAAAATGGGAAAAAACCCCGTGAAAATCGGATAAAAAATGGGTAAAATACGATAAAAACCCCAGAAAAACCCAAAAACCCCACAACTTATGGGGTCAAGCACCAGTGCTGCCCGGGCTGCGGGCACTTCTGCACGGCCGTGAGTGGGGACTGGGGGGAAAACCCTGAAAATGGGGAAAAAAGGGAAAAAAACGCAAAAAACCCCGTGAAAATCCGATGAAAAATGGGTAAAATACGATAAAAACCCCATAAACAGCAAGGAAATCCCATAAATGCCAAGGCAGGATGGTGAAGCACCAGTGCTGCCCGGGCTGCGGGCACTTCTGCACGGCCGTGAGTGGGGATTGGGGGGAAAAGCCCTGAAAATGGGAAAAAACCCCGTGAAAATCGGATAAAAAATGGGTAAAATACGATAAAAACCCCATAAACACCAAGGAAATCCCATAAATGCCAAGGCAGGATGGTGAAGCACCAGTGCTGCCCGGGCTGCGGGCACTTCTGCACGGCTGTGAGTGGGGACTGGGGGCAAAAACACAAAAAAAGGGAAAAAAATGCAAAAAACCCCGTGAAAATTGATAAAAAATGGGGAAAATGTCCCCAAATCCCCTTTAAGATCCCATAACTCAATCTTGGTGACCCTTGGTGACCCTTTTTGTCCCCATTTTATCCCCTAGGGGACGTTCCTGCAGTGCCACCCTGGTGCCAACCTGTCCCCAGAGTCCATTCAAGTGTCCCCAAACCCCCTGAACTGTCCCCAAACCCCCTGAACTGTCCCCAAACCCGCGCCCAGGTGGGGCGGGGTTTGGGGAAAAAAAGGAGTTTTTGGGGGAAAAATCAAATTCTTCGGGGGAAAAATTGAATGTTTTGGGGAGAAAATTGAATTTTTGGGGGAAAAAATTGAGAGCTGTCCCCAAACCCCCTTTAATGTCCCCTAACTCATCCTTGGTGACCCTTGGTGACACTCTGGTGACATTTTTCTCCCAGGGGATGTTCCTGCAGTGCCACCCTGGTGCCAGTCTGTCCCCAAAGTCCATTCAAGTGTCCCCAAATCCCCTCAAACTGTCCCCAAACCCCCTGAACTGTCCCCAAACCCCCTTTAGGTTCCCATAACTCAATCTTGGTGAAAAAATTGAAATTTTTTGGGGGGAAAAGGGAAATTTTGGGGAAAAAAATTGAATTTTTGGGGGGAAAATGGAATTTTTTTTGGGAAAATGGGGATTTTTGGGGGGAAATGGGGAATTAAATGAGGGAATAGTATTTTTAAATAGCCTCAAAAATGGCACAAAATGGGACAAAATGGGGCAAAAATGGTGCAAAGTGGGGCAAAATGGGGAAAATGGGGATTTTTGGGGGGAAAATGGACGTTTTGGGGGAAAATTGGAATTTTTTCAGGGAAAAACTTGATTTTTCTGGGGGAAAATGGGGTTTTTGGGGAAAAGGAAATTTTGGGGAAAAAAAATTGAATTTTTTGGGGAGAAAATTGAATTTTTTGGAGGGAAAATTGAATTTTTGGAGAAAAAGTTGAATTTTTGGGGGGAAAATGGAAGTTTCGGGGGGAAACTGGAGGTTTTTGAGGAAAAAATTGAATTTTCGGGGGGAAAAATGGAGATTTTGGGAGGAGGAATTGAATTTTTTTAGGAAAAATTGAATTTTTTTAGGAAAAAATGGAGGTTTGGGGGTGAAGAATTAAATTTTTGGGGGAAAAATTGAATTTTTGGGAAAGAAAATGAATTTTTTAGGGAAAAAGTTGGGGTTTTGGGGGGAAAAAAATTGAATTTTTGCAGGGAAAAAATTGAATTTTGGGTCCTTTCCCCCCGGCAGTGCCCGCATGCGGGGGCAGGGCGAGGGCCAGGCAGATTTTGGGTCATTTTGGGTTATTTTGGGTCATTTTGTGTCATTTTCAGTGCGTTATTTTGGGTCATTTTGGCTCATTTTGGGTGGGGATTTTGGGGATTTTTGGCTGGTTTTTTGGGGGATTTTTGCTGATTTTGGGTCCTTTTCCCCCGGCAGTGCCCGCATGCGGGGGCAGGGCGAGGGCCAGGCAGATTTTGGGTCATTTTTGCGTTATTTTGGGTCATTTTGGCTCATTTTGGGTGGTGATTTTGGGGATTTTTGGCTGGTTTTTTGGGGGATTTTTGCTGATTTTGGGCCCTTTCCCCCCGGCAGTGCCCGCATGCGGGGGCAGGGCGAGGGCCGCGCCCCCCCCCCGGACCCCCGGGCCGAGCCCATCGACAGCTCGGGGGGGCCGGCGCTGGCCCTGCCCTCGGGGGGGGCCCTGAGCGCCCGGGGGCTCCCCCCGGGCCCCGCCCGCGAGCACCTGGAGAAGGCTCTGCTGGGCCAGGAGGCTGAGAGGTGAGTCAGGAACACACCTGGGACCCCAAAAACACACCTGGGGGGGATAAAATATACCTGGGACCCCAAAAATACACCCAAAAACACACCTGGGGGGCTAAAAACACACCTGGGACCCCAAAAAATACACCTGGGACCCCAAATCCCCCCAGGAGGAAGAAGCTGCGCTTCCACCCCCGGCAGCTTTACCTGAGCGTCAAACAGGGGGAGCTGGGCAGGGTCATCCTGATGCTGCGTGAGTGGGGACCCCAAAGTACCCCAAAATCTGGGGGGAACCCCAAAAAAATCCCAAAATTCGGGGGGAACCCAAAAATCCCCGGGGAAATCACAAAAATCCCCCAAAAAATCCTGGAGAAAATCTCAACATTTGGGGGGATTTGGGGTCATCCTGATGCTGCGTGAGTGGGGACCCCAAAGTACCCCAAAATCTGGGGGGAACCCCAAAAAAATCCCAAAATTCGGGGGGAACCCAAAAATCCCCGGGGAAATCACAAAAATCCCCCAAAAAATCCTGGAGAAAATCTCAACATTTGGGGGGATTTGGGGTCATCCTGATGCTGCGTGAGTGGGGACCCCAAAGTACCCCAAAATCTGGGGGGAACCCCAAAAAAATCCCAAATCTGGGGGGAACCCCAAAAAATCCCTAAATGACGGGGGAACCCAAAATTTACCGAGGAAATCACAAAACATCCCGGGGAAAAATCCCAAAAATTCCGGGAAAATCCCAAAATTTGGGGGGAACCTGAAAATCTGGGGAGTCCCTGGGGGGATTTGGGGGTCTTTGGGGGGTTCCCAATCCCATTTTGGGATTCCTGACCCATTTTTGGGTCCCTTTTCCCATTTTTTGTTCCTCTTTTCCCATTTTTTGTCTCACTTTTCCTGCTTCTGGTGGTTTTTACCCATTTCTGGTGGCTTTTACCACATTTTTGTTTCCCTTTTCCCATTTCTGCTGTTTTTTACCCATTTCTGCTATTCTTTTTCCCATTTCTGCTGGCTTTTACCCATTTCTACTGTTTTTACCCCATTTTTTGTCTCTCTTTTCCTATTTTTTGTTCCCCTTTTCCCATTTCTGCTGGCTTTTACCCATTTCTACTGTTTTTACCCCATTTTTTGTCTCTCTTTTCCTATTTTTTGTTCCCCTTTTCCCATTTCTGCTGGCTTTTACCCATTTTTGCTGGTTTTTTTCCCATTTCTGCTGTTTTTTACCCCATTTTGGGAACCTTTTCCCATTTCTGCTGTTTTTTATCCATTTCTGGTGGTTTTAACCCCATTTTTTGTTTCCTTTTTCCCATTTTTTTCTCCCTTTCCCCATTCCTGCTGTTTTTCCCCATTCCTGCTGTTTTTTGTTTCCCATTTCTGTTGGTTTTTCCCCATTTCTGCTGTTTTTATCCATTTCTGGTGGTTTTTTCCCCATTTTGTCTCCCTTTCCCCATTCCCGCTGTTTTTTACCCATTTTTGCCGTTTTTCCCCCATTTCTCCTGTTTTTTACCCATTTTTGCCGTTTTTTTCCCCATTTTCCCCCTATTTTTTTTAACTTTTTTTCCTATTTTCCCCTAATTTTTTCTCCAATTTTTCCCCATTTTTTTACCCATTCCTGCCGTTTTTCCCCCGTTCCGGGTCCCTCCCCCAGTGGACAACCTGGACCCCAACTTCCAGAGCGACGCGCAGAGCAAGCGCTCGGCGCTGCACGCGGCCGCGCAGAAGGGGCACCTGGAGATCTGCCACCTGCTCATCCAGGTGAGCTCACCTGTGTGACACACCTGGGACACACCTGGGACACGTGAGGGACATCCCAGTAACACCAGTGACATCCCAATGTGGGATCTCAGCCATCCCAGTGCTCCCAGTGCTCCCAGCAGGGCACCTGGAGATCTGCCACCTGCTGCTCCAGGTGAGCGACACACCTGGGACACACCTGAGGTACCAGTGACACCAGTACAGGGCTCCCAGTATGGGATCTGTGTGATCCCAGTGCCCCCAGTGCTCCCAGCACAGCCCAGCAGGGGCACCTGGAGATCTGCCACCTGCTGCTCCAGGTGAGCCGTGACACACCTGAGTGACACCTGGGACACCTGAGACACCTGAGGTACCAGTGACACCAGTACAGGGCTCCCAGTATGGGATCTGTGCGATCCCAGTGCCCCCCAATGCCCCCAGCGCAGCCCAGCAGGGGCACCTGGAGATCTGCCACCTGCTCATCCAGGTGAGTGACACACCTGGGACACACCTGTAACACCTGTGTGACACCTGGGACACACCTGGGACACGTGAGGGACATCCCAGTAACATCCCAGTGCTCCCAGTATGGGATCTCAGCCATCCCAGTGCCCCCAGTGTGTCATTCAGTGGTCACTCAGGGTCACTCAGGGTCACTCAGGGGTCAGTGGTCACTCAGGGTCACTCAGGGTCACTCAGGGGTCAGTGGTCACTCAGGGTCACTCAGGGTCACTCAGGGGTCAGTGGTCACTCAGGGTCACTCAGGGTCACTCAGGGGTCAGTGGTCACTCAGGGTCACTCAGGGTCACTCAGGGGTCAGTGGTCACTCAGGGTCACTCAGGGTCACTCAGGGGTCAGTGGTCACTCAGGGTCACTCAGGGTCACTCAGGGGTCAGTGGTCACTCAGGGTCACTCAGGGTCACTCAGGGGTCAGTGGTCACTCAGGGTCACTCAGGGTCACTCAGGGTCACTCAGTGGTCACTCAGTGGTCACTCAGGGTCACTGTGGTCACTCCCAGGCCGGGGCCAACATCAACGCCGTGGACAAGCAGCGCCGCACGCCGCTGATGGAGGCCGTGGCGCACGACCAGCTGGAGACGGCGCGGTACCTGCTGCAGCGGGGGGGGTGTGCCTACAGCCAGGTGAGCTGTGACGTCATAGATACACCTGTGTGACATCATCACACACCTGTCAGATCACACACACACACACACAGCGCGGTACCTGCTGCAGCGGGGGGGGTGTGCCTACAGCCAGGTGAGCTGTGACGTCATCACACACCTGAGTGACGTCATCACACACCTGTGAGATCACAGACACACCTGTGACACACCTGTGACATCACACACACACACAGCCCGGTACCTGCTGCAGCGGGGGGGCTGCGCCTACAGCCAGGTGAGCTGTGACGTCATCACGCACCTGTGACGTCAGCACACACACAGCCCCCCCGGCGTGACGTCGTCACACACACCTGGGGTGATGTCATCCCACACCTGTGATGTCATCACGTAACTGTGATGTAATCGCACACACGTGCCATCATAGCCACACCTGTGACGTCAGCGTGTGCACGTGACGTCACGTGTGCGATGTCATCACACGCACTGTGATGTCACCAGACAAACAAGTCATCCCCGCACCCTGTGACGTCACTTCCTCTCTGTATGACATCACCACCCACCTGTATTACATCATCATCCCCCTGTATGACATCACCACCCTCATATGATGTGGCCACTCCCTTGCATGATGTCACCGCCCTCTGTATGACATCACCACCCCCTGTATGACACCATCCCCCATGTGATGTCACCATCTCCCCTGTATGACGTCACCGCTCCCCGTGTGACGTCACAGGAGGAGGACGGCTCCACCTGCCTGCACCACGCGGCCAAAAACGGGAACCTGGAGATGGTGGAGCTGCTGCTGAGCACCGGCCAGGTGGACGTCAACGCGCAGGTGAGCTGGGAATGGTCAGTGTGGTCAGTGTGTCCTGGGAGTGGTCAGTGTGTCCTGGGGATGGTCAGTGTGTCCTGGGAATGGTCAGTGTGTCCTGGGAATGGTCAGTGTGTCCTGAGTGTCCTGGGGATGGTCAGTGGTCAGTGGAGCTGCTGCTGAGCACCGGCCAGGTGGACGTCAACGCACAGGTGAGGGAATGGTCAGTGTGGTCAGTGTGTCCTGAGTGTGGTCAGTGTGTCCTGGGGATGGTCAGTGTGTCCTGGGAATGGTCAGTGTGTCCTGGGAATGGTCAGTGTGGTCAGTGTGTCCTGAGTGTGGTCAGTGTGTCCTGAGAGTGGTCAGTGTGTCCTGAGAGTGGTCAGTGTGTCCTGGGAATGGTCAGTGTGGCCTGGGAATGGTCAGTGTGGTCAGTGTGTCCTGAGAGTGGTCAGTGTGTCCTGAGTGTGGTCAGTGTGTCCTGGGAGTGGTCAGTGTGTCCTGGGAATGGTCAGTGTGTCCTGGGAGTGGTCAGTGTGTCCTGGGAGTGGTCAGTGTGTCCTGGGGATGGTCAGTGGATCATGGGTGGTCACTGACCCCGAGTGATCCCTGGCTGACCCCCGGCTGACCCCCAGGACAGCGAGGTCTGCACCCCCATCATCGGGGGTGGGTTTGGGGTGGTCAGTGGGTCAGGGGTGGTCAGCGGGTGGTCTGGGGGTCAGGGGTGGTCAGTGACCCCCGGCTGACCCCCAGGACAGCGGGGGCTGGACCCCCATCATCTGGGCGGCCGAGCACAAACACATCGAGGTCATCCGGCGGCTGCTGACCCGCGGGGCCGACGTCACCCTGACCGACAACGTGAGACACCTGGGGACACCTGGGGACATGGGGACACACCTGGGGACACACCTGTTTGGGAGGACAAAAGTAAAAAGAGATGGAGATGCACCTTAAGGTACCATAATTAGTTGCTGGTATGAAATTAATTAACATCTGCCTGCACTGGGCAGTCGGTGGCTGGGTTTGGGTGGTCAGCACTGGGCAGCAGTGGTCAGTGATGGTCAGCAGTGGTCAGTTGGTCACTCTGTGGCAGGAGGAGAACATCTGCCTGCACTGGGCAGTTGGTGGCTGGCTTTGGGTGGTCAGTGGCTGGCTGTGGCTGGTCAGTGCCTGGGTTTGGGTGGTCAGCAGTGGTCAGCAGTGGTCAGTTGGTCACTCTGCAGGAGGAGAACATCTGCCTGCACTGGGCGTCGTTCACGGGCAGCGCCGAGATCGCCGAGGTGCTGCTGAACGCGCAGTGCGACCTGCACGCCGTCAACTTCCACGGGGACACGCCCCTGCACATCGCGGCCCGGGAGAGCTACCACGACTGCGTCAGGTATTGGGGCTGGGGGCTTCGGAGGGGTCACAGGGGTCACAGGGCATCGGGGGGGGTCACAGAGCCTGGGGGGAGTCAGGGGAGTCAGGGACCCCCCATTCCACGGGGACACGCCCCTGCACATCGCGGCCCGGGAGAGCTACCACGATGGAATGCTCCACAGAGGATCCCGTGGGGAGAATCCATTACATGAGGGGGGGGGTCCCTGAAATTTCCGGTGAATTGGGGTGGATTTGTGGGGGTCCCATGAATTTGAGGAGGGGTCTGGAATTCGGGGAGGGGTCTGCAATTCAGGGAGGGGTCTCAGGAATTGGGGAAGGGTCTCAGGAATTGGGGAGGGGTCCCAGGCGGTCCCACACCCCCCTTCCCAATTTAGGGTCCAGAGGAGATCCCATGGGGAGAATCCATTAAAGGGAGTGGGGGGTTCCTGAAATTTGGGGTGAATTTGGGCGGATTTGTGGGGTCCCATGAATTTGGGGAGGGGTCCGGAATTCGGGGAGGGATCTCAGGAACTGGGGAGGGGTCCCATGAATTAGGGGAGTTCCCTGGAATTTGGGGAGGGGTCTCAGGCGGTCCCTGACCCCCCTCCACAATTTAGGGTCCATAGAGGATGCCCTGGGGAGAATCCATTAACGGGAGTGGGGGGATCCTGAAACTTGGGGTGAATTTGGGGGGTCCCAGCTGGGTCGCAGCAATTCGGGGAGGGGTCGGGAATTGGGGGAGGGGTCCCTGACGCCCCGCTGCCCCCGCAGCCTGTTCCTGTCGCGCGGGGCCGACCCCGAGGTGCGGAACAAGGAGGGCGACTCCCCCCTGGACCTGACCCCGGAGCGCTCCGAGGTGTGGGTGGCGCTGCAGCTGAACCGCAAACTGCGCCTGGGGGCGGCGGGCCGGGCGCTGCACACCGAGCGCATCGTCAGCAGGTGGGAGCGGCACTTTTGGGGTTAATTTGGGTTAATTTGGGCTTTTTTTTTTTTTTGGGGGCAGGTGGGAGCGCCGGATTTTGGGGTTAATTTGGGTTAATTTGGGCATTTTTATTTTTTTGGGATTTTTTTGGGATTTTTTGGGGGTGTTTTGGGTCCCAAACTGCGCCTGGGGGCGGCGGGCCGGGCGCTGCACACCGAGCGCATCGGCAGCAGGTGCGATTTGGGCATTTTGATTTTTTTGGGATTTTTTTGGGATTTTTTTGGGGGAGGTTTTGGGGTGTTTTGGGTCCCAAACTGCGCCTGGGGGCGGCGGGCCGGGCGCTGCACACCGAGCGCATCGGCAGCAGGTGGGAGCGGCACTTTTGGGGTTCATTGGGGTTCATTGGGGTTAATTGGGGCATTTTGATTTTTTTGGGATTTTTTTGGGATTTTTTTGGGGGAGGTTTTGGGGTGTTTTGGGTCCCAAACTGCGCCTGGGGGCGGCGGGCCGGGCGCTGCACACCGAGCGCATCGGCAGCAGGTGGGAACGGCACTTTTGGGGTTAATTGGGGTTAATTGGGGCATTTTGATTTTTTTGGGATTTTTTTGGGATTTTTTGGGGGTGTTTTGGGTCCCAAACTGCGCCTGGGGGCAGCGGGCCGGGCGCTGCACACCGAGCGCATCGGCAGCAGGTGCGAGTGGGCATTTAAGGGTTAATTTCGGGCTTTTTAAAATAGAATTTATTTGGGAATTTTTTGGGATTTTCCCCAATTTTTTCCACAATTTTTTTCTGATTTTTACCTGATTTTTTCCCGATTTTTCCCCGATTTCTTCCATTTTTTCACGATTTTTTCCTGATTTTTTTCCATCTTTTTCACAATTTCTTCCTTTTTTCCCTATTTTTTTCCAAATTTTCACAATTTTTTCACATTTTTCCCCGATTTTTTTCAACTTTTTCCTGTTTTTTTTTCTCAAATTTCTTTGTATTTTTTTTTTTGTTTTTGTTTTCTTTTTTTTTCCATTTTTGGGATTTTTTTTTTCCTTTTTTTTTTTTGCATTTTTCCCATTCCTGGCTGGATTTTTATTGATCCTGTCACGCCCAGGGACGTGGCGCGGGGCCACGAGAACGTGCCCATCCCGTGCGTGAACGGCGTGGACGAGGAGCCCTGCCCCCAGGACTACAAGTACATCGCTGAGAACTGCGAGACCTCCACCATGAACATCGACCACAACATCACCCACCTGCAGGTGGGGGAAAACGGGGAAAAAATGGGGAAATCGGTGAAAAAATGGGGAAAATCGGTGAAAAAATGGGGAAAATCGGGGAAAAAATGGGGAAAATCGGGGAAAAAATGGGGAAAATCGGGGAAAAAATGGGGAAAAACGGTGAAAAAATGGCAAAAAAAAGGGATTTTGGGCTGTAAAATTGGATTAAAATGGGAATTTTGGGGGGTAATTTTGATATAAATGGGATTTTTGGGGGTTAAATTGGATAAAAATGGGAATTTTGGAGATAAAATTGGATAAAAATGGGATTTTGGGGGGTTAAATTGATGGGGAAATGGGGATTTGGGGGACTGGGATGGACTGGGAGGGGATTTTGGGTCAATTTTGACTAAATTTTATGTAATTTTGAGTTAATTTTGTGTAATTTTGGTGTAATTTTGTATGTTTTGATGCAAATTTTGGGTGTTTTGGGTAAATTTTGGGTTAGTTTTGCGTATTTTGGATAATTTGGGGTTAATTTTGCATCAATTTGGGTTAAGTTTGCATCAATTGGGGTTAATTTTGCATCATTTTGGGGTGTTTTCCAGCACTGCACCTGCCAGGACGATTGCTCCTCCTCCAACTGCCTCTGCGGGCAGCTCAGCATCCGCTGCTGGTATGACAAGGTGAGAGGGGAAAAAACCCCAAAAACACCCCAAAAATACCCCAAAAACACCCCCAAAAATGTCCCCCAAAATACCAAAAAAATATCCTCAGAAATACCCCAAAAAATCCCCAAAAATTCCAAATAAATACACCAAAAATACCCTAAAAATATCCAAAAAAATACCCCAAAACCAAAAAAAAATAGCCTCAAAAATACCCCAAAAAATCCCCAAAATTATCCCAAAATACCCTAAAAGTATCCTTAAAAATATCTCCAAAATTCCCTCAAAACCACCCCAGAAATGGCTCAAAAATCCCCAAAAAATATCCCCAAAAATTCCCCCCAGGCAGCTCAGCATCCGCTGCTGGTATGACAAGGTGAGAGGGAAAAAAACCCCAAAACCACCCCAAAAATGTCCCCCAAAATACCAAAAAAATATCCTCAGAAATACCCCAAAAAATCCCAAAAATTCCAAATAAATACCCAAAAAATACCCTAAAAATTCCCTCAAAACCACCCCCAAAAAATCCCCAAAAATTCCAAATAAATACCCAAAAAATACCCTAAAAATTCCCTCAAAACCACCCCCAAAATATCCCCAAAATTCCCTCAAAATCAGCTCAAAAATAGCTCTAAAATCCCCAAAAAAATACTCTCAAAATCCCCCAAACCACCCAAAAATACCCAAAAAATATGCAAAAAAACCCCTCAAAACTCCCTCAAAACCACCTGAAAACCACCCTAAAAATACCCCAAAAATACCCCAAAAATATCCCCAAAAATATCCCCAAAAATACCCTGAAACCACCCCCAAAGTACCCAAAAAAATACCCCAAAACCATCCCAAAAATCCCCCAAAATTCACCCTAAACCCCCCCAAAATTTGGAGTTTTTCCCCCAAAATTCAGTTTTCCCCCCAAAAACCCCCCAGGTTTGGGGATGGATTTTGGGGGGGGGGGTTTGTGGCTGTTTTGGGGTATTTTAAAGGGTATTTTTGGGGTGGTTTGAAGGGTATTTTTGGGCCATTTTGGGGGATTTTTGGGTCATTTTGGGGGATTTTTGGGGTATTTTTATGGGTATTTTTGGGGTGGTTCTGAGGGTGATTTTGGGCAGTTTTGGGGTATTTTAAAGGGTATTTTTGGGGTGGTTTTAAGGATATTTTTGGGTTATTTTGGGATATTTTTATGGGTATTTTTGGGGTAGTTCTGAGGGCGATTTTGGGCTGTTCTGGGGTATTTTTAAGGGTATTTTTGAGCTGTTTTGGGGTAATTTTGAGGGTATTTTTGGGGTGGTTCTGAAGGTGTTTTGGGGCCGTTTTGGGGTGATTTGGGGCTGTTTCAGTGTCCCTTTCCCCCCAGGACGGGCGGCTGCTGCAGGAGTTCAATAAAATCGAGCCCCCCCTGATCTTCGAGTGCAACCAGGCCTGCACCTGCTGGAGGAGCTGCAAGAACCGCGTGGTGCAAAATATCCCCAAAAATATCCCCAAAAATACCCTGAAACCACCCCCAAAGTACCCAAAAAAATACCCCAAAACCATCCCAAAAATCCCCCAAAATTCACCCTAAACCCCCCCAAAATTTGGAGTTTTTCCCCCAAAATTCAGTTTTCCCCCCAAAAACCCCCCAGGTTTGGGGATGGATTTTGGGGGGGGGGGTTTGTGGCTGTTTTGGGGTATTTTAAAGGGTATTTTTGGGGTGGTTTGAAGGGTATTTTTGGGCCATTTTGGGGGATTTTTGGGTCATTTTGGGGGATTTTTGGGGTATTTTTATGGGTATTTTTGGGGTGGTTCTGAGGGTGATTTTGGGCAGTTTTGGGGTATTTTAAAGGGTATTTTTGGGGTGGTTTGAAGGGTATTTTTGGGCCATTTTGGGGGATTTTTGGGTCATTTTGGGGGATTTTTGGGGTATTTTTATGGGTATTTTTGGGGTGGTTCTGAGGGTGATTTGGGGCAGTTTTGGGGTATTTTAAAGGGTATTTTTGGGGTGGTTTTAAGGATATTTTTGGGTTATTTTGGGATATTTTTATGGGTATTTTTGGGGTAGTTCTGAGGGCGATTTTGGGCTGTTCTGGGGTATTTTTAAGGGTATTTTTGAGCTGTTTTGGGGTAATTTTGAGGGTATTTTTGGGGTGGTTCTGAAGGTGTTTTGGGGCCGTTTTGGGGTGATTTGGGGCTGTTTCAGTGTCCCTTTCCCCCCAGGACGGGCGGCTGCTGCAGGAGTTCAATAAAATCGAGCCCCCCCTGATCTTCGAGTGCAACCAGGCCTGCACCTGCTGGAGGAGCTGCAAGAACCGCGTGGTGCAGAGCGGCATCAAGTGGGACCCCAAAATCCCAAAAATCTGCACCCCAAAAACCTGAATTCAGCACCCTAAAAACCCCCAAATCCTGAATTCTGCACCCAAAGAACCGCGTGGTGCAGAGCGGCATCAAGTGGGACCCCAAAATCCCAAAAATCTGCACCCCAAAAACCTGAATTCAGCACCCTAAAAACCCCCAAATCCTGAATTCTGCACCCAAAGAACCGCGTGGTGCAGAGCGGCATCAAGTGGGACCCCAAAATCCCAAAAATCTGCACCCCAAAAACCTGAATTCAGCACCCTAAAAACCCCCAAATCCTGAATTCTGCACCCCAAAAACCCCAAAGAACCGCGTGGTGCAGAGCGGCATCAAGTGGGACCCCAAAAACCCCAAAATCCCAAAAATCTGCACCCTAAAAACCCCAAAATCCCCAAATTCTGAACTCCAAGAACCCCAAAATCCTGAATTCTGCACCCAAAGAACCGCATGGTGCAGAGCGGCATCAAGTGGGACCCCAAAAACCCCAAAATCCCAAAATTCTGAACCCTAATAACCCCAAAAAACCCCAAAATCCTGAATTCTGCACCCCAAAATCCCCAAATTCTGCACCCTAAAGAACTGTGTGGTGCAGAGCGGCATCAAGTGGGACCCAAAAACCCCAAAATCCCAAAATTCTGAACTCCAAAATCCTGAATCCTGAATTCTGCACCCCAAAAACGCCACATTCCCAAAAAACCCCAAATACTGGACCCCAAAACCTCCAAAATCCTGAATCCTGCAACCCAAAAACCCCCAAATCTCAAAATTCTGTACCCTAAAAACCCCAAAATCCCAAAAAACCCCAAATACCCAACCCCAAAATCCCCAAATTCTGCCGTTCCCCCCCCCCAAAATCCCCTTTTATTCCCCAAAATTCCCATTTTCTCTCCTCAGAATTCTCTTTTTTCCCCAAAAAAATTCCCTTTTTTCCCCCAAAATCCCCTTTTTTACCCAAAATTCCCCAATGTTTCCCCCATCCTCCCATTTCCCCCCCATTTTTTCCCTTCTAAATTCCCATTTTTTCCCCAAAATCCCGTTTCCCCCCCATTTTTCCCCCAAAATTCCCATTTTCCAAAAAAATCCCCCATTTTTCCCCCCATTTTTTCCCCAAAGTCCCCATTTTCCCATTTTCTCCCCCAAAATCCCTTCTTTTCTCCCCCAAATTCCCATTTTTCCCCAAAATCCCCCATTTTCCCCAAAAACCCCCATTTCCCCCCCATTTCCCCCCAAAATTCCATTTCTCCCTCCAAAATCCCTCGTTTTTCTCCCCCGAATTCCCATTTTACCCCCATTTTCCCCCACAATTCCCATTTTTTCCCCCAAATCCCCCATTTTCCCCCCAAATCCCCTTTCCCCCCATTTTTTTCCTTCTAAATCCCCATTTTTTCCCCCAAATCCCCATTTTTTCCCCCAAATCCCCCATTTTCTCTCCCCAATCCCCTTTTTTTCCTCAGTTTTTCCCAAAATCCGGTTTTTTTGCCCCGTTCCAGGGTCCGGCTGCAGCTGTACCGCACGGCCAAGATGGGCTGGGGGGTGCGGGCGCTGCAGGCGATCCCCCCCGGCACCTTCATCTGCGAGTGAGCGCCCCCAAAAACGGGGAAAACAACCCAAAAACGGGGAAAACAACCCAAAAACGGGGAGGGTACCCAACCCCAAAATCCCCAAATTCTGCCGTTCCCCCCCCCAAAATCCCCTTTTATTCCCCAAAATTCCCATTTTCTCTCCTCAGAATTCTCTTTTTTCCCCAAAAAAATTCCCTTTTTTCCCCCAAAATCCCCTTTTTTACCCAAAATTCCCCAATTTTCCCCCCAAATTCCCATTTCCCCCCCATTTTTTCCCTTCTAAATTCCCATTTTTTCCCCAAAATCCCGTTTCCCCCCCATTTTTCCCCCAAAATTCCCATTTTCCAAAAAAATCCCCCATTTTTCCCCCCATTTTTTCCCCAAAGTCCCCATTTTCCCATTTTCTCCCCCAAAATCCCTTCTTTTCTCCCCCAAATTCCCATTTTTCCCCAAAATCCCCCATTTTCCCCAAAATCCCCCATTTCCCCCCCATTTCCCCCCAAAATTCCATTTCTCCCTCCAAAATCCCTCGTTTTTCTCCCCCGAATTCCCATTTTACCCCCATTTTCCCCCACAATTCCCATTTTTTCCCCCAAATCCCCCATTTTCCCCCCATCTCCGCTCCATGGGGATTAATCCCATTAATTTTTTTGGGGGGGGGTCCCAGGGATTTTTGGGGGGTCTAAGGGATTTTGGGGCCTCCGGAATTTTTAGGGGGTCCCTAAAGGTGCTGAGGGTCCCCAGATAAACAAAGAAAAAAACCCAAATCTCCCGAAAAACCCCAAAATTGGGGACAGCAGCTCCCCCCCATGGGGATTAATCCCATTAAAGATGTCCTGGGAATTTTGGGGTGGTCCCAGAGATTTGGGAGGTCCCAGAAATGTTGGGGGGTCCCAGAGATTTGGGGGGTCCCCAAAGGTGCTGAGGGTCCCAAGGTGAGCAGGGAGACCCCAGGTAAGCAAAGAAAAAACCCCAAATCTCCAGAAAAACCCAAAATTTGGGGACAGCAGCTCCACCCCATGGGGTTCAACCCCATTTAAGGGTCCCAGAATTTTTTGGGGGGGTCCCACAGACTTGAGGGGGTCCCAGGGATTTTGGGGGTCCCTAAAGGTGCTGAGAGACCCCAGGTAAGAAAAGCCAAGACCCCAAATCTCCCGAAAAACCCCAAAAATTCAGCCCCTCCCCTGCCCTGGGGGAGGCCCCGCCCCCTGACGGTGGCCCCGCCCCCTGACGGTGGCCCCGCCCCTTTTGCGACAGGACGGCGAGGTTTACTGCATCGACGCCCGTTACTATGGCAACGTGAGCCGCTTCATCAACCACCTGTGCGACCCCAACATCATCCCCGTGCGGGTGTTCATGTTACACCAGGACCTGCGCTTCCCCCGCATCGCCTTCTTCAGCAGCCGCCACATCCGCCCCGGGGAGGAGCTGGGGTGGGCTTTGATAGGGTTTGATAAGGTTTAATTGGGTTTGATTGGGGTTTGATAGGGTTTATTGGGGTTTATTGGGGTTTATTGGGGTGCCAGGTGTTCATGTTACACCAGGACCTGCGCTTCCCCCGCATCGCCTTCTTCAGCAGCCGCCACATCCGCCCCGGGGAGGAGCTGGGGTGGGCTTTGATAGGGTTTGATAAGGTTTAATTGGGTTTGATTGGGGTTTATTGGGGTTTATTGGGGTTTATTGGGGTGCCAGGTGTTCATGTTACACCAGGACCTGCGCTTCCCCCGCATCGCCTTCTTCAGCAGCCGCCACATCCGCCCCGGGGAGGAGCTGGGGTGGGCTTTGATTGGGTTTGATAAGGTTTAATTGGGTTTAATTGGGGTTTGATTGGGGTTTTATTGGGGTTTGATTGGGTTTATTGGGGTTTGATTGGGGTTTGATAGGGTTTAATTGGGGTTTATTGGGGTTTGATAGGGTTTATTGGGGTTTGATTGGGGTTTGATA